GTGCTGAGCAGGGAATGAGATGGAATGAGTCTGGGGATTGTTGGTGCTGGGCAGGGAATCAGATGGAATGACTCTGGGGATTGCTGGTGCTGAGCAGGGAATGAGAAGGAACTAGTCTGGAGATTGCTGGTGCTGAGCAGGGAATGGCATGGACTGACTCTGGGCAGTGCTGGTGCTGAGCAGGGAATGAGATGGAATGCCTCTGGGGATTGCTGCTGCTGAGCAGGGAATGGGCTGGAATGACTCTGGGGATTGCTGGTGCTGAGCAGGGAATGAGATGGAATGACTCTGGAATGTTTGTAGGGATTGCTGGTGCTGAGCAGGGAATGAGATGGAATGACTCTGGAATGCCTCTAATGATTGCTGGTGCTGAGCAGGGAATCAGATGGAATGACTCTGGGGATTGCTGGTGCTGAGCAGGGAATCAAATGGAATGCCTCTGGGGATTGCTGGTGCTGAGCAGGGAATGAGTTGGAATGACTCTGCGGATTGCTGGTGCTGAGCAGGGAATGAGATGGAATGACTATGGGGATTGCTGGTGCTGAGCAGGGAGTCAGATGGAATGACTCTGGGGATTGCTGGTGCTGAGCAGGGAATGAGATGGAATGCCTCTGGGGATTGCTGGTGCTGAGCAGGGAATGAGAAGGAATGACTCTGCGGATTGCTGGTGCTGAGCAGGGAATGGCATGGAATGACTCTGCGCATTGCTGGTGCTGAGCAGGGAATGAGATGGAATGCCTCTGGGGATTGCTGGTGCTGAGCAGGGAATGAGATGGAATGACTCTGGGGATTGCTGATGCTGAGCAGGGAATGAGATGGAATGACTCTGGAATGCCTCTAGGGATTGCTGGTGCGTAGCAGGGAATAAGATGGAATGACTCTGGAATGCCTCAAATGATTGCTGGTGCTGAGCAGGGAATCAGATGGAATGACTCTGGGGATTGCTGGTGCTGAGCAGGGAATAAGATGGAATACCTCTGGGGATTGCTGGTGCTGAGCAGGGAATGAGATGGAGGGATTGCTGGTGCTGAGCAGGGAATAAGATGGAATGACTCTGGGGATTGCTGGTGCTGAGCAGGGAATGAGATGGAATGACTCTGCGGAGCAGGGAATGAGATGGAATGAATCTGGGGATTGCTGGTGCTGAGCCGGGAATCAGATGGAATGACTCTGGGGATTGCTGGTGCTGAGCAGGGAATGAGATGGAATGACTCTGGGGATTGCTGGTGCTGAGTAGGGAATCAGATGGAATGACTCTGAAGATTGCTGGTGCTGAGCAGGGAATGAGATGGAATGACTCTGGGGATTGCTGGTGCTGAGCAGGGAATGAGATGGAATGACTCTGGGGATTGCTGGTGCTGAGCAGGGAATGAGATGGAATGACTCTGGGGATTGCTGGTGCTGAGCAGGGAATGAGATGGAATGACTCTGGGGATTGCTGGTGCTGAGCAGGGAATGAGATGGAATGACTCTGGGGATTGCTGGTGCTGAGCAGGGAATGAGATGGAATGACTCTGGGGATTGCTGGTGCTGAGCAGGGAATGAGATGGAATGACTCTGGGGATTGCTGGTGCTGAGCAGGGAATGAGATGGAATGACTCTGGGGATTGCTGGTGCTGAGCAGGGAATGAGATGGAATGACTCTGGGGATTGCTGGTGCTGAGCAGGGAATGAGATGGAATGACTCTGGGGATTGGTGCTGAGCAGGGAATCAGATGGAATGAGTCTGGGGATTGCTGGTGCTGAGCAGGGAATGAGATGGAATGACTCTGGGGAGTACTGATCCTGACCAGGGAATGAGATGGAATGACTCTGGGGATTGCGTGCTTGGGGATTGCTGGTGCTGAGCATGGAATGAGATGGAATGACTCTGGGGATTGCTGGTGCTGAGCAGGGAATGAGATGGAATGACTCTGGAGATTGCTGGTGCTGAGCAGGGAATCAGATGGAATGACTCTGGGGATTGCTGATGCTGAGCAGGGAATGAGATGGAATGACTCTGGGGATTGCTGGTGCTGAGCAGGGAATGAGATGGAATGACTCTGGGGATTGGGGCGCGAGATCGGCAGGAAGACATGGAATGACTTCCCGGGGATTCGCGAAGAAAGGAAGCCACCAGTTGGATGGTTGGGGGTCATTCCATCTCATTCCCTGCCTATCGCACCAGCAAGATAAACATGTAAACCGTCTGAAGAAAGACACCATAGGCCGGAATGGCTCATTCTTCTGCAGGGAATCAACTGCGCCAAGGAACCATAGCAGAACCCGAGCGCAGCACTGCCAGTCCCCCAACCACCCTGACCCCTGACCAGCACCCTGACCAGCACCCTGACCAGCACCCTGACCAGCACCCTGACCAGCACCCTGACCAGCACCTATTCTTGGGGTCAAAACATTTTGACAACCCAGTTCGGCATCTCCTAGAAAACGCCAAACAGGACACCCCATTCTGTGGTTCTCATATCTTAAGACAAACGACCCCGATCCCATTTGGGCATCTCTCTAAAAAAACACCAGCATAGACCCCAGATAGCACATACGAACCATGATGTAGCACCACAACAATTCCCAAGGCATCATGATGATGTTGTCAACATCATCATGATGATGTTGACATCATCATGATGATACCACAGCGACACGCATGGTGCGCTAAATAGACGTGCAGGCGACGTCCTAATGAGTTCAGCAGCTCATGCTGATACACCAGCCACGAACCATCCCGCGCTACATATCTAGCAAAACAAGGCAGAGACCGCGGCATCATGATGATACGGACAGCATCATGATGATGCGGACATCATCCTGATGACGCGGACAGCACCACCATGATGCGGACAGCATCATGGTGATGCGAACAGCATCATGATGATGGTAATGGAGTATCAGGATGATACAGCCACAAAATCATCTTGCGACAGCGCAATGAAATTCAGCATTATTGTGATGTTGACAACATCATGCTGCCACCAACCATAACCCAGCATTGCAGTGATTCCAGCAGCATCATGACGTGGCTGCCAACATCATGATGATACACCAGCCACAAACCACTACACGCGGCAGAATCAGTGCAACAGCATCATGACGCTGCGGACAGCATCAGGAGGATGCCACAACCACGCTACTCCGAACAGCACCCGCCCTGGCACCCTACCATCCATATGAGCCCTCACCGACACCACACCGCAAAAACTGCAGCCTTGGCAGCACCCCAACGCACCCCAGCACCGGACATGTCCCCAAGAACCCTGCCGTTACACTGTCACCAGCACCTCAACCGAACAGCACCCGCACCTGCGCAAGTACCCCAAAGCGCATGCAGCTCCCAAGCCGTCGATCTTGCAAAACAATTCCTCTTCTTCACTAGAACTTAGAACTGCTATGGTTTTTAGTTGTCTGGGAAATACTTTGCCCGCGCGGTCAGCAGCACCTCAAACAACACCCCAAAACAGCACTTGCACCACCACCCCAAACTGCATGCCCCCTAGCGCCCGCCGGTAATCTCGGCCCAGCACCCCAAACTGCATGCGGCCATCAATCTCGCAAAAATGCGCCCGCACCATCACCAGCACTTCAAACAGCACCCCAGAGCAGCACCTGCACCAGCACCACAAACTGAATGACCCCTAGCACCCGCTGTCCATCAGCGCCTTAAACAGCCAGGCACCAAACAGCACCTCCACCAGCACCGCACACTGCAGTCCCTGCCCCCTAGCACCCGGACCCCGAACTACATGCCCCATACCACCCGGCTGTCAATCTAACAAAACAACACCCCCACCAACACCCCAAACTGCATGCCCCCTAGCACCCGGACGTCAAGCTCGCAAAACTACAGCACCTAGCACCCCAAACTGCGTTCTTCGTAGCATCCAGCCATCAATCTCGCAAAACTGCACCTCCACCAGCACCCCTACATGCCCCTAGCACTCGGCTGTCAATCTGGCAAAGAACCGTCAATCTCGCAAAACAGCACCTCCACCAACACCCCAAACTGCCTGCCCCCTAGCACGCGGCCGTCAGTCTCGCAAAGCACCTCCAGCCCCCCAAACTACATGCCCCCTAGCACCCGGCCGGCCGTCAAGCTCGCAAAACAGCACCTAGCACCCAGCCGTCAATCTCGCAAAACAGCACCTCCACAACACCCCAAACTGCATGCCCCCTAGCAAAACAGCACCTCCACTAGCACCCCAAACTGCATTCCCCGTAGCACCCGGCCGTCAATCTCGCAAAGCGGCACCTCCACCAGCACCCCAAACTGCATGCCCCCCAGCACCCGGCCCTCAATCTCGCAAATCACTTTTCCTTCTTTATTAGAAGTTAGAACCCCTGTAGCTTTCAGCTATCTGGGGAAAAACAAAACAAACAAACAAAAACGCCTTGCAGTTAAGGGAAACCAACACATTGCCCCCTTTGGGCTATCCCTTCTCCGTATCCGTATCGGCATCGAGGCTCCCGACCTCGCCGTTCTCCGGTGCCTCCGACTCATCTTCGGACTCCCAGTCCAGCGGTGTCTCCTGAGAGAAACGCAGCTCAGTAGAAGTCAAGACTTCCATTTCGTTAAGACCCCTGGAATTATATGTTGTTTTTTTTCAGTAGTGATACATTCCGTTTAAAACCAACAAGGGGAAATCATAATAATAACAATAATTAAAAAAACAAACTTGAGCAAATGGAAGAAGAGAAATACCCGGGCTTCTTCTTGCTGGAGCGAAAGGTAGGGAATGCGGGAATCAACCCAGGGGACCCCTGTAAAGAAACCGCCAGTTGGATGGTTTATGGGGGGTCATTCCCAGATTCCCTGCTGAGCACCAGCAAGTCTTGGTGAGCACATTTCAATGGCAAATGTTTAGCACAGGCTTTTCCTTAGTCAGAAAAGAGGCTTATGGAGAAAGACAACTTTTGGGCCTGGACGCATTAAAATACAGAATCCTGCCAAGATAAGTTCAAAGTTTGTCAACTCAACTAAGTAAAAACCATGTACATCAAGGGGCGTCCCGCCCAAGCTGAACATGGATTCATGGCCCTTCTCTTCAACCCAGATTCGGCATTAAAAGGCTTCCCGAAATAGAAATGAACACAACAAAGCGCAGGAATCGAGGTAGAACTCGATCGGCACCGGATGCTCATTAAATGTTGTTCCGTGTCTCTGTTGGGGAATACCGACGCTTTTGTGGGCGGGTGGGCGATTTCGCCGCCTGGGACAGGGGTGGCCTTCTGGCCCTCGCGGGAAAATAACACAACTTCCCCTTCAAAACGAGGATGCGTACAAGATGTCAACAGGCAAAGCCTTGTGCTTGCTTTGTCGGCGATTCATCATTCAGGCTCATGCCCATACCACAGTCACAATCCTATCCGGAATTCAATTCACAAATAGAGTTGTAGCAGGCCGGCAAAACCATCACGTAAATGGGTCGGGCGAAGGGGGCAAGCAAGGGTGTCAAAAAAAAGTAGATCAAGTCCTTTTAGCTGCGCTTTTTGCAATTTGGACTTGAGACTCTCAAAAAATCATTGGATCCCGAGATCAAGACAAGGAAAGTTCCATGCCAAAGGGACTCCCATTCCACCCCAAGCTTTGCTTCGGGTTCAGCGGCCCTCAAAGTCGACACCTCAATTCAAAGGTCGTCGATGCCTAAGGCTCAAAACGGGGTCCGCCCGTCCGAATTCGCATGCGTGGCTTGTAGAATTTATATGAAACACGCGTCCACTTAGATTTAGGCGTTAAAAGAACTTGGCAGATAGACTTAGCATCTTCATCCGCCCAAGAAAAAGCGCTACCCGGGAAAACCAAAGATCACCTTATCTTGCTGGCGAAGATTCCCCCAAAGCAAACCCCAAGGGATGGTTCAAGCCCGTTCATAGTCATTCCTCAATCCCTGTAGTGAACCAGCAAGTTCAGCAGATGGATATGTCAAAATAAGAGAACCCTAACAATGGTTTCCTTTGGCTCCCCCCTAAACCCTTCGGTGAAACTAGCGCCCTCGAATCATTCGAATCCTTTTGGAATCACCTTGGGCCCTTTAAGGCTCGGTTGCCTAGGGTACCCTTTTGTAACCAAAAGGAGAAACCAAAGGGACACCCTCCCAAGAACCCCGAGCAGAGGTTCAACCAGTCAAACGGCTCCGTAGTTGGCTTAGTGGCGGCTTTTTCTATTTTTCTCCGTATTTAACCCACGAAAAGTGACAGAACTTTTATCAGGGGATCAAAACATGCCAATTTGTTTCTGTATGGCTAGTTTGTTTCTCAGTTGCCCCGTAGGGACCCAGAAGTAAAAGGTGAAAACCTTTTGGGGCCATGACTAAAAAGGAACCCAAAAGCTCAGAATTGGTCGATTCGCCTTGGAGTGAGAAATTAGGTAGAGCTATAACCATGGAGACTTACCATGGCGTTTCTGGGTTACCAGGCATACCAAAACCACTTCCCTGACGTACAATGCTCGCAGGAAAGAGGGACACCCCCAAGCCATTGGCCCAGATTCTTGGGTGTATCTTTGGCTCCCAAATCAAAAGTTGCATTGCTTCTGGGGTAATCCTCCATCATTCCCTGCCTATCTTGCTGTCTTGCTGGTGCTGATGAACCCAGGGATGCCCTTGAAGGAAACACCAGTTGGATGGTTGACAAGGGTCATTCCATTTCTCATTCTCTACCTATCGCACCAGCGCAAGCTATCCAACCAAACGAACCAAACCCCAAAGGAGGCGTTGGCTAAGTGCCGGGCCAAGTCCAGTCCGAGCTCCTCCCGGAGGTGGCAGTTCTCCTGGACCTGAGGAAGTCTTCGGGGGCATTGGCGCCGGAGCGACATCCATTCGACCACCAGGTCGGCTTATAAACCGGAAAGGGGGGGAGGCTTCCAAATTTAGGAGAAATGAACCACTGGGTTGGAGTCTACCTTTGGTCGAAAAATGGAACCCTGAGGTCAGGTACCTCTATCCTGTTGTCACCTTTTCTACACACAGAGCAGGCGGGGCCTATGTTTCCCTCCAATTGGTGGTTTGGATTGCTTGGAAACCTGCACGCGCTCTTGGCAAGTGGGTAAAGAGAATCCCACGACTTTCTGAGGTTCCCTAAACAATGTTGAAGTAAGCCACCAGGGATTAACCCAGGAAACCCCACCTCATTCAGCATGTCTCCTTCTTCAGTTTGAACCCAAAACCAAAACCCGCCCAACCTTAGCGGTGCAAACTTTGAGCTGGAGATGTCGGACTTTTATCTCGAAACTCCTAACAAGAAGGGTGTTGCTGGGAATCGCCCAACCTCATTCACCTTGACCCGTTCAGCTGAATCAACCCTTTCATCTCCTGAACTCAGCAAAAACACACTAGCATACAAGCCACGCAGGTACAAAGTCGATCGAGACGCAGCAACTTCTTCGCAGGCCCGCGGAACCGCATCGGTGCGAGCTGAAGCGGACTTAACACACCAACACCACAACCTATGAATGCATCAATGGTTTGGACGAAGGAAAGAAACCATCAGCGATATACGTTCAAGTTGGACTATGAGCACATGGGAGAGTGGAAAACCAGATCACATGTCAAAACAATATGACACACGCCATCATTTCTCATCTGGGTTTGCCTGGTCACTGCCTCAACGTCATTTGCGTTTTGCTTAGAACGAAGTCCAAGCTGACCTCAAATGCATTGACGTTCGGGTCTTCCGGATGGCTTCAAGGGTCCATATTGGTCCATGTTTGAATCATGGCGCAAAATCCAAAGGTCCAAAGCTCGGTCTTGGCGCAGTGTGGTATGGCTCCAGTTGGGATGGATGCAACCCTATGAATTCTATTTGACACAAAACACCAACTGAGTCACAATCAACACCTGGTACACAAATATTGAACCCAGAACCAGGCAAAGAATTAGAAAGGCGGCCGCAACTAGTTCCGGCTGGGACTGCCCCTTACTAACCTTCATCTACCCGGGTTTTGATTGTGGCTCAACTGCAGCATGTTCTCTGCAGGTAGGCTTTGGTGGTCCTTTCCCTGCCGAATCGAACCCCTCCCTCGGCCGCCGGCCAGCAAGGCCAGGTTTTGTCGATAGGCCTCCGCGGCAGCAAAACAACTTTCGCGTCGCAAGACCTGGCACTTATGTAGCAGGTCTCGGACAAAGATACCCATCCCTCATCTTCCCTCTAGTTGGTTTGATGGCTTGGTGGCTATGTTCGTGATTTCCCTTTTATTCATCCAATCCAGTGCGCACAAGACTGGCTAAACCGGGTAAGCACAAAAACCGCCAAATCCGAAAGCGGCAAGGCCATGAGAAGTCCTCGGCCCGAATCCAACTCGGCCCGTCACGGCTACGTCTCGCGCCTCCACCAGGTCTCGGAACTTTGGATTCTTGAACTCCTGGCCACAGGCGCACCGGCTCTGCGTCCACATCTCACTTCCGATCGAGTGGATTGGCCAACAGAAGTAACCAAGCGTTTGGGTTGCCATGAAGATGGTCTTCCCAAAAGTCTAAAGTGGATGAACTCAGGAAGTGAGGTATTGGATGTGGCTTGGGTCCACAAACCGCTAATTGGATGATGAGCTGTGGGACAAATCGCCTATGTCTTGATGTTCTTGAAAGGCATGCTTGCCAATTCGTCAAGGGGTGCAGGGTTGATGAAGGGTATGGCCGTCATCTTGTCATCCAAGACCAGGCTCTCGATTCGATGCAGCATGAATATGTGTGTGCCAGTATGGCAGTCTGGGCCTCTGGCAAACAGAAACAAAAGCCTTCCCGCGTTTGAATCCTTCATGAATCTCCTGTGATACCGTGGCTCATGCCTGGCCAAGTGAGTGCTGTTCGGAAAAAATGGGTCCCATAGTTGGGATCCCGGACCGTGCTTTTACCTTCCCTTTTCAAGGGGGTCACAAACGAATCCAAGAAAAAATGGATCCTCTTTTTGCAAAATCCTCAAGTGCCTGCGTGTGACCAACTGGCAACGCATCTTGGGCATAGGCCTGACATTCAAGCCATATCCTGTCAGGGTGGTGTTCCCCCCACTGCTTTCCTCTGGAAAGGAGCTTGTTCGAGCATGCAATTTAGGCATTGCCTCCAGGTTACAGAACCGCGACGCAACAAACATCCGCGCGCAGTTGATTGGAAAGAGATCGTGTAAATCCATAAGCCCACGCTGGAAAACACCTCAAGATCCGCGATGCGAAGTCAAGGAACCCCACCCTCACTTCGCCACGGGAATTCCCAGAATTTTCACAAAAGATGGGCAACTCATTTGCCATTGGAATGTTCCCACATCTCAGCCTCTCCTTTTGTCCCTGTGCCGGTGGCTCTACGCGAATGGACAGGCCAAAAGGCCAAAACTTGACATCGAATGGGAAGTTCCACAACTTGGGCTGGACCCCTTGGTGTTCAAAGAACGAACCAAACCGTTCGACCGGCTGGAGGGAATTTACAAGCGCCGAGCCGGCCAAGAAAACGAGACTTCCACTGAGGCGGCCAACTGTAGCTCAAGATTTGGCTTCCGGAAAGCTATTTGCAAAAGGCGGGAAAATGCCGTCGAGTCGGCCACTATTAGCTATTCCCAGACTTAGCTTCCTTCTGGCATCCTCTTCGGCTCTCGCCCACCCCTCCCACGATCGGCATTTGCGATGCAGGCCTTGATATCCTCCTGCCAGGGTGGCACTGTGGGGGCGTGCGTGCGGAAGCTTCTGCACATTTGCAGCATGTTACGCCAAGACTTGGCCTCGAATTCATGGGGGTAGACATGGTTGGACTTGGCCCAATCAAATGCGTGTGCGAAATTCACACGCCATGAATTATATGGAAGGATTCATTCTAGTCCACAGAACACACAAAATGCCGGTACATCCCGACTCTACCCCGAAAGACGCCATTGCAAGACAAGGCACTAACGTTGGAGTGCTTCCGACCGAGTGGACTGGCCAAGAAAGCAACCAAACTTGTTGTTTACCGCTAACGTGGTTGGTTCTCCTCCCAAAAAAGAATGATGTTTGAACTCAGGAAGTGAGCAAATGTGCAGGCAGTCGTGAGCAGCTGCTCACGGCTGCCTGCAAGACACACCGTTTCAGGGCATCCACTCAAAGTCAGCAACTCACAAAATGAGCAGGTATCAAGGATACTGCATTCTCAGCTGCGTGAATTGCAATGGTTGTCCAGAAGAAGTCTGCCCTTTGGCCCTTGACCATGGACTGCGTTTCTGAGTTTGCTAGCTGAGGGGGATGGACTCTGACTGTCGCATTGCCCCTTTAAACGTCTACCAACGAAAGGGAATCGAAGGATATGTTTACCGGAGCCTTGTTTAGGGTGCTCTCCAATGCGAAAAGAGATCTGGTTGTTCCTGCAACCTGAAAAGCGATCTGACATCTGGAGGAACGTCCATTCTACCGGCTCACTGGCCAGCTCAATTAAACCATTGGCCGAAAGCTTTCGCGTCGAATCAAAACAGCTCCGTAACAAGCCGATCTCGCCTCAGACTTCAATTATGGACACAAACGCGCCTCTGGCTCCGGACATGCATGCTGCATTTTTTGTTTATAGCGCTCGCTCAATGTCAAAAAAGAGATTCCATGAAGCTTCAAAATTTGGAAAGCACCCTTCATCTGTGAGGCGATTCCTCTCTCGCGCTGGGAGAATCATGAGGCGACGCGTTCATGTCATCCCCTTGCCAAGGACCAAATGAAAACCTGCTTGGAGGCCGTCGTTTGTCGAGCCTCCCACTGTGTTATAATATTATAGATCCGAGCGGGCATTCAAAATATACAGATCCCCATTTGTCGTAAAGGATACATCCAAAAATCACCTTTGCTGCACCAGGAACTCCCTGGCGATTTCTTCACTGGCCTCATCCTCGCTGCTGAGTCCCGCCTTGGGAATGCCACTCGACCACAAGAAAGGTTCGCTGAAAAATCGACTGTGAGGAGCGCTGGGTGTGTGTGTGTGTGTCAAAATGGAGGGCCCACCATTTTCATGGTGGGTTGCGTCTTGGCGTCCCTTCAAACCAACCGACATATCGGTACGCCGCAAACATGACACAAGCATATAAGGGTTAGCTAGATACTTTCCTCACAGGATCATGACTCAAGTTGGCTTTCGTTCTAGTGCTCTACCTTCTACCAGTAGCTGAAGCCCCCAAAAGCAAACGTCCTCAGGCCGACAACCAAACCCTGGCCATCTCACCAGTCGTATGCGATACGTTCGCGCCATCCCGCAAAACTGCCAAGCGGCAATACGCCTCCGCTGCATGTACTTACAAATGGCATTTTAAGCAATGTTGCTCTTGGATCCACGGGAATGCGTCAAAACAATTTCTCCGTTTGGCCTGCTTGTAAACCAAGGTGAAAAAAGGGACCTCAAAAAGACACACACACACACACACAGACACACACACACACAGACACACACACACACACACAGACACACACACACACACACAGACACACACACACACAGACACACACACACACACACACACACACACACACACACACACACACACACACACACACACACACACACGCCCACACGCCCACACACACGCCCACACGCCCACACGCCCACACGCCCACACGCCCACACGCCCACACGCCCACACGCCCACACGCACACACGCGCACACGCGCACACGCACACACGCCCACCCGCACCCGCACCCGCACCCGCACCCGCACCCGCACCCGCACCCGCACCCGCACCCGCACCCGCACGCGCACGCGCACGCGCACGCGCACGCGCGCGCGCACGCGCAGACGCGCACGCACACACACACACACACCCAGGGAAACGTCCTGGGTACCTACTATCAATTCCAGGAGTGCACTGGGCACTTCTACATGTCCCACACGTGCAATCTTCAGGTTGCGCTTGGCATGAAAAAGCAAATGCGCGTCTTTCAGCACTCAAAAAGGGCGCGGAATTGAGTCGGGACTTATGCTTCGCTTGTTGTGCCTTTTGTTTTGACAAGCGTGAAAGCGAGACGCGATGTTCAGAACACTTCCGACGCTTCAGAATCGGAATTGGAGCTGATGCTTCTGAACAGGGTGCAAGCAACTATTGGAGCCAAAGTCAAAACCTACCGTGGATGGACAAAATCCCTTTCGCACCGCCTCAGAGACCCTGGTTTCGGATGATTCCCCTGTAAATACAAACAAACACTGGTTTCGCATGGTTTCCAAGGATTTTGTCCATCCACAGTATTGCTCCATGCTGGTGTTGAGCCCAACTCATTTGAAGTTGTGCGGCTGTCAAAGATCACTGAGGCATACTGAGGCTCCTGCAATGCTAGGCTCGTCATCGATCTGGGAAGACAAGTTCGCCTCAAAAAGGCAAGTTCCCACTCGCATGGCGGTCCTTCAGGACATTGTGTCCATTTATTTAAGGGAGCAGCGACAGATGGACACTATTTGTAGCTTGCGTTGCAATTTGCCGTGCAAGAGCCAGGGTTCCTCTTGGGTCACTCAGATTGCTCCAATCGGAAATGAAAAGCCCGAAGCTCGGCTTCCAGCTGAGACCAACACATGAAACTCGCTTCCGTTCGATGCAAACCCTTAGAACGGGCTGCTCACAACCTGCACACGGCCTCCATGTAGGTCACGCTTTCTGCGTAAATAACATGTCCTACATACGGCGCCGTGGAACCTTCCGATCATCTCCTGCGGACAACATGCCTAGTTTATTGGAGCCTTGTTGAGGGGGTCTGGAAGGCAGTGTTTCTTCTTTGAAAGGGACGAAACTCACCAACCTGGAACCCTACTCTGGGGTTCCGCATCACAAGTGTCCTTTGAGAAGAAACCTTCTTCTCCGAAGGAGAATGCTCTGGCTTGAGAAAAAAGATGTTCTCGGGCATATTCTCAGAAGGAGAACGTTCTGGCTTGAGAAGAAGCATTTTTCTCCTTCCAGGGAATGTTCTCCGGTTTTCAGCCCAATTTGTTGAGTTGACACCAACCCAAGCGGGTCCGGTACTGCCGTATCAAAAGCCACGGTTTTGGATGATCGATCCAAGTCCGCCGCCTTCATCTAACCTCGGGTCGAAACGTCGAAACCGGCAGTCGCGGTCGGTTGAAACGCGAGCTCCATGGGTTTGTGGGTACCAAGAAGCAAATACACAAGAATGAGAGCCCGCTTTTGTGTTTGAGCTAAGACCATGACAATCATAAGCCATATTCAAGATAACCACACAGGAGTTGAGGTGCACAACAAATCTGGCCCTGAACGAAGGAACCCCAACAGCTCCATGTAGAGGAATCTCCTTTTGGGGGACCCCCTTTTGAGTTCCATGCCAAACCGCAGGGCAGAAACAACCTTCAATGACATGAGATGGCTGTGGTTCAAAAATCGGTATCTAAAATGGGGAACCTTGGCAAATGGAACCAAGGACTGCAACCTGCCGTCCTCTCTGGATGTTTTTTTGACCCACAACCAAATGTCCGTTGTGTTTAAGAGATAAAAGAAAAAGAAAAAGAAACATGGAGACAAAAAACACATATTTCATTAAAGTAGTGTAGAGCACAATTACAAGATCCGGCCTGTTCGCAAGGGAGACCTTGCTGTTCAACTGGCGGTTTCGTTCTTTCGGTTACCAAGGCCATGGAGTTCATTCAACTTCCCCATCGCACCAGCAAGTTTTGTTGCCTTTGCCCACTGCCTTTTCTTGGGGTTGGGGTGGGGCGGGGGGAAACAGGTGATTCCCCATTTTGAGACAGACCCAGTTGTTCTGCTCATGCGGGAGAAATCCTACACTAGAGGTGCTCTCTAACCCGACTGCCAGCAATCGTACATTCAATCAAGTGTTTTCTCTTGCCAACTAGCTAGAATCTTCACTGTGGATAGACAAAATCCATTTCGCACCGCCTCAGAGACCCTGGTTTCGGATGATTCCCCTGTAAATACAAACAAAGAATGGTGTCCCATGGTCAAGCCTTTTCCACAAAGGTTGGCATCCCCAAAAGCGACCTGGGCCAAGGACTGCAAACTCATGTGACATTGAAGGCTCCGACTCTTGTTCCCTCCCTTTAAAAAAAAAGGTGTGACAAATTATTGCCTGTCTTACGCAGCTCATCTGTGTACCCTGTAAACAAGGCTCACATCATCTACAAATGGGTTCATGTGAGATTCCAGGACCTCTTGTCCAATTTGACACGACAATGGGCCATGCTTTGACAGTCGGCCAATTTTACCCCAGGTGCAATGAACTTCTGGTGGATGAACTCCGGGCATCCCATTTGGGTGTGTCTCAAAAATAGGCCACTCAACAAAATGTGGTTTTTGTTCCCTCAAACCAGAGGTTCCCCAAAAAAAAGAGAAAGAAAGGCACAGACGCCCGCATTTCAGGGGGATCCCTCGCTTCTGGGGAAATGCCCCAAAAGTGATCCACCGGATTCCTCCACTTCCGCCCTTTTGGCTTCGTGCCATGCAGGCCCTGCAGGCCCCAAGGCCAGTCATCGCCTCAGTGAATGAATCGCAATCCGCCAGTCATCTGCTCTCCGGTCGGAGCGGCTTAGGCCGTGACCAAGCCGGTTGACGTATCGCTATATGCTTTTTAGATGGGCTTGTCCAACAACACCGTAATGGATGTATCAAGGCCAAAATCTCACAACCTAATATAGTGCACGATCACAAGTTGGCCCGGACGGGTTCAGCAAGCACCCTGAAGACAGTCCGCTTTGGAGCAGGTGGACAGCAACAAAGCTGTGGATGGACAACATCCACTTCACACTAATCGGGATGGATGAAGCCCCATGAACACTGGGATGAACCACCTAACTGGTGCGAAATGGATGCCGTCCATCCAGGGCCGTTCGGCAAAATGCTGGAGCGCTTGGGCACGCTGTCATGCTTCTTCGATTCCTGAAGAGATGCAGGTGGAGTGAGAAGCAACTGAGGTAATAAGCTCCCAGATGCACAGCATGTGTTGTGAAACATCCCACCAAGCAGATAAGTAGAAGGATTGAACGCATGCGACATCATCTCAGTTCAAGTGAAGGGCTTACCACTTCTTGAAGTGCCAACTGCAGCGTAGAGCGTAGAAACTATAACTTTTGACATGGTCAGCTACACTCTCGAAAATGCGACATGCGGAAAGCGCTGATTGTTCGGCATACTGATGGCTATGCACGAGTCACAACCTCGGGCTTCCCGGCGCGCCCCTGCCACGTGCAGGCAGACAAGCACATATGCGGCAGACAAGCGGCCTGTGCGCACTGTGAACATGTTTTGGCTGCCATTTTCTCGCTGGCTGAGTGAATGGCCCAAAAAAAATCCAAACTGTATATTTCCCACTAAAATGGTCTTATCAAAAAGTTTAAAGTTCATGAACTCAGGAAGTGAGTTTTCCATCCGGGGCTTGTTAGGTTGAAGCATTCCGCCTGTGATCCCTGTGGATTTTCCTCGTTTCGCTCTCGGCTAAGGCTCGAGCAAAGAGCAAGCGACGTGTAGCCCGAAGTTGTGTGCAATGCAGGGAGTAAGTTCAACCAGGGGCTGCGTTTCTACACGCCCAAGGATTCTGTGGATCTGGTCCCAGCCCCTCCCATGAGCCCTGGCGATATTGGCAATATGCCAATAGCCACGAAACCCCAAAGAAGAGGCCCCCTTTGCACAGGTATTACATGAGTATGTGCGCCAAATAGGGATACGCCCCAAAATGGGTAGCTTTCCCTCCACGTTCCATTCAAACCAACCTGCCAAATGGCACCTATATGCCTTGCGGAGGTTTGCTTGATCGGAGCGAGCCCAGTTGAGTCTTTGGCTGTGACAGTCGACTGGGATCGGTGGTTGATCAACCATTCCAACTGGTGCCAGATGGCTGTGGGTCAAAAACAGGTACCAAAATGGAACCCTGCAAAAACTAAAACCCGCGATCCCCTGATTGATTTAATTTTGACCCATACCCAGATGGATTTGGCCCATTCCAACTGGTGCCAAGCCCAAGATGCAACTCTGCGAGAATCTGTGGGGAAACAACTCTAGAGAACCCTGCAAACGTACCACCCCTAAGACAACCGTGGCAATGCTTTGCACACCTTGGAAAGAGATGGTGCTCGAGAGGGGGGACTTGTGGGGAATTTAGGTCCCCCATGTCCCACCCAAATGGACCATGTCTTTTGGGATACTCTGGCCGAACCAAATGAAACGATAGTGGGCAAAAACGAAAAATGTATGACCCAGGCCCATATACATAGAGTACTTGTTTGCTCTCGCTGCAATTGGGGGGGGCCATGATGTCATTTGCCCGGGGGGCGGGGTTTTGAAAGGGGTCTTTTTTGGCCGGACGAACAGTTGAAACTACTTCACTCTCCCAGGTTTTGAGCTTGGCTCCGTGGAGACGCTTCGCCCAACCGCCGCCAACCGCCCAATCGAGCACGGCACGGCATGGCATGCGGGAGGCGCCCAGAGATCTGTGAGCAGCGGCAAGTGAAGCTCCGGGAGTGAAGCCTCGCGACGCACGCGCGGCTCGGTCCAAAACGGCGGACTGGATCTTCTTCCATCCCAGCCCATGTGGATGGCTGCGAAATCCACGAACCGCACCCTTGGAAACCAGGGTTGAAACCATGAGGTTTGTTGGGTATTTACCGGGGAATCGAATCCTTCCAGGGGTTTCTTAGGTGGTGCGGTTTATGGATTTCGCAACCATCCACAGCATGGCTGGAATGGAAGTTGAACACAAGCCTGAGAAAGCAAGGTCCTAAAAACCAGCGTGGGCCAAAAGGTCGGGCTGGGTATTCACCTTCATTGGGTACCAGCAGCCAGCGCTAGGCTCATTTGGGCGGTGTACATAGAGCGACTGGCAAGGGGAGAAGCGTCTGAATGCAACCTCACGTTAGCGACTGGCAAGCCTGCGGAACCTGCGCATACCTGCGGCACCCATGAGATTTGTTCATGTATCGGGGCTGATTCTCACTTACTTCGGATGTAGCGGAAGCCATCTGGGAGGCCAGAAAAGTATGGCATCTCAAAACCACCCAGAGCTCCACTCCAACTCCGACTCCCTTCCCTCGCATTTCCGCCCAGTAGCCAGGCGGTTCTCATAGAGGAAAGCCTTCGAGAGAAGTGGTGTCCACCTCAGGAAATGAACGCTACACTCTCTTTGTATGGGTCCGTTTCTTGACGATAGGGGACCCCAAAAAGCTTGTGGGTGCCCTTGGAATTTAACCATAAGGGCCCCTTGTACCTTAGGCCTTCTTACCTGCAACCTTCCTTTCTTGTACTCTTGGTGCGAACCAACAATTTGTGAAATGCCATAGCTCAAGCAAGCAGCGGATGTTGCCCAATCATTCAGCTCCAAAAACTTGTGGGTTCCCTCGGAATTGTCCTGTGCGACAAGCACAAATACAGAAGCCTCTGGAAAACACACCGGTTGGTCTGTGGGCAACACCGAAAGGTAATATGGAGGTCAAACGAAAGGTGTTGGGTTGACAAATGGGGGACCCCAACCGTCCCATGAAACAAACAACTGGTTGATTTACATGAACATGGGCCACCGGATGATTCGCTTCTAAAGTTGCAATCTGCAGAGCTCCAGTAGAATGTTAGCGTTGGATGCATCAATGAAATGCCATCGATTACTAACGGGCGTTTTCGGGATCCAATACTAAAAAAGTTCTACACTCTGATGCGGGCCTCCGCGACCACCTCGAATTACTATGGCACATTCGGCAGAACTACTTTCCCGCACAAAAAGCGATGTCAAACCCAGTTTTCTCTAGCTTCCCTCAATCCCGCAGAGCGGCTACTCACAACTACCGTCCGTCTAGCGCAAACCCATCCCCCAGAACCCATTTAAATTCAATCTGAGGGTTGACCTTCTGGGTGAAGGAGGGGGGAAAGGGGGCGGAAGGGATTCCTATCCGACGTAAACATTACTGCTCTGTTGGAGGCTCAACGAAAATTAAAGAACGAAGATTGGTTTTGATGGCGCGTTTGTGTGTGTGTGTTGTGTGTGTGTGTGTGCGTGTGTGTGCGTGATGGCTGTGTTGTGTTGTGTTGTGTTGTGCTGTGTTGTGGTGTGGTGTGCTGTGCTGTGTTGTGGTCGAGGTCGTGGTCCTGGTCGTGTTTGTGGTCGTTTCCGTGGTCGTGGTTCTGATTTGCGGTTGTGGCTGTGGCTGTGGCTGTGGTTGTGGTTGTGGCTGTGGCTGTGGATGCGGTTGTGGCTGTGGTTGTGGCTGTGGCTGTGGTTGCGGTTATGGCCGTGGCTGTGGCTGTTGTAGTTGTGGATGTGGTTGCAGCTGTGGTTGTGCCTGCGTTGTGCTGTGTTTGCGCTGTGTTGTGTTGTGCGTGTGTGTATGTGTGTCCCATTTCAGCTCTGGCTCATTCGGGAAGCACCCGCCAACCTATCCGCAAGCTGAGTGGACCTTCTGCCAAATTCCACGGCTGAGACATAGCTTTGGGCTCAAGGAGATCAACATGGTGGCTTCGTTGTGATTCCCCTTTCACACAACCTCAAAAAAGAAGCCTGCTCCCGGCAAACGGTCGCATGTCAGCGCCGAGACACTGCGAGATGTTCGGATCTAGCTCTGTGATCTTGTTCCGTCCCAAGTCCAGCTGGGTCAAGGACGGCCTCGGCAGTTTCTACTCCGGGAGACCTTTCGTGGATCATCCCCCAGCTGAGGACCCTTCATATACATGTACGCAGGCACACGTATCTGTTTATATATATATATACACACGTGTGTGTGTGTGTGTGTGTGTGTGCGTGTGTAGGTTGAAGGACAAGCCGACGTGCTCGGTCTTCCACACGCCCCCTGCCCCGGCCCCCCAAATCAAACCTCTGATTCCCTTTGCCACTCGGGTTGGACTCTTTGGCCTTGAGAGTTTCGGGTTTGATCCAAAGGTCCCATAAACATGGGATGACCATTGCGTGGAAAAAACCGCGCCAAAAAGTGTTGTTGCAAACAAGGGAAAGGCGGGGGAATCGCTACCCGGTAACCCACAAGATCAAACCTGGGGGCTCGAAATGGACCAAAACAGCATCCCCCCAAAGACTTCCGGGCGTTTCGCTTGGCGCGGCGCGCTCGTTTCCGGGGCGGTCCAGCCCTCCGTCCAGCCCTGCCGCCTCTACTTTGAGGGCTTGGCAGCTCTTGCAGGAAGCTCATGGAGTCCAGGGAGTTTCTGTAGAGGTCCAGCCTCGGGGATGGGTTAAACTTCTCAGACTGGGCCCAAACTTCTGGATGAGTTCCTACAAATTTGCGGAAGGTTCCGGGAAAAATGAGAAACAAATACGTGCGGTAGTGATAGATTCGCTACAGGGGGAAGTAAAACAGATTCTTAAGTAATTGAGCGCGCTTAATGCTTTTTGTTGCTGGCGCGATAGGTAGGGAATGAGAAATGGAATGACCCTGATTTAAATCATGCAACATGGTGTCCTTTAAGGGAATCGCTAGGTTCATTCCCTCATTCCTTCGAGGACACGCAAGAGGGAAACTAAAAGGAAGCTAATGCCCTTTTAGGTTTGTCCCCGAATTTGCGAAACCGAAGGAAGGGACGAAATCCATTTTGCACCAGTGGGTAGGTGGTTGGTTTCTCCCGTTTTTTTTATAGGAGTTCATCCATCCCACGCCAATTCCACGCCTGGACCTCGGGCACTTCGAAGCAGCAGAGGGCACTCTGAACCCACAGGGCTGCCGATGGTCGTTTGTTTGGGCTTTCATCTTGGGGTGACGGGCTGAGTCGCGCGGGTTTGGGGGCCCCAAACCCCAGGGCCCTGCATCTGCTGTCCTTTTCTCCACAAAGCTCGGCCTCAAAAGAGGCCCAGCATGCCGCCTGCGGCCTGTAATCAGATAGCTACTTCAAGTGCTGCACCTGCAGAACGGCCGTGTCCAAAGCCCACGGATGCATATAGGATTCAAAACCTGATAACATTGGCTGCGGGAAGGTTGGGTCTGTGAAGCAGCCGACCTTAATGCCAACTCGTGCTGAATCGGAATCGGCGGTATACCAAACCGTGGAGCCGCAAACTGGGCAGAAATGGAAGGTCGCGCCTGCCGCGAGGCTGGCGCAATTGGCATACCCAACCTGATCCGCCGTGTCTTTGGAAATCTTCCACGTCGTCGACTTCCCCTCGATTACTACCTGCTCCTTTGGGAACCGCGCCTGAACCGCGAAGATGTTGCCCGACTGCTTCTGGCACAAGTAGCAGTGGCACAAGCTGATCCGCTGTGGGTCAGGTCCCGTGACTGTTGCATGAAGCTGTCCGCAATTGCACTGAGCAATTCGGGTCTTCTCGGTTGCCGGACTTGCGGAGATTTTTGTCCCGACCCTCTGTGCCGAGCTTGCGGGGGCACCGCCTGACCTCAGCTCACCCCGAAGCCCGAAACAAGTAAACCCGATACAAAACCACAAGTCTGCAAGCCACTCTATCAGGGATCCCGTGCCCAAGAAAGTATGACACTGGCATGCCATGCCCCACACACAGAGAGACACACAGACACAGACGCAGACAGAGACACAGACACAGACGCAAACGCAGATGCAGACGCAGACGTAGACGCAGACGCAGACGCAGACGCAGACGCGCGCACACACACACACACACACACACACACACACACCACACACACACGCACGCACGCACACGCACACGCACACGCACACGCACACGCACACCCGCACCCGCACCCGCACACACGCACGCACACGCACACGCACACGCACACGCACACGCACACGCACACGCACACGCACACGCACACGCACACACGCACACGCACACGCACATCGCACACGCACACGCACACGCACACGCACACGCACACGCACACGCACACGCACACGCACACGCACACGCACACGCACACGCACACGCACACGCACACGCACACGCACACGCACACGCACACGCACACGCACGCACGCACGCACGCACACACGCACACACGCACACACGCACACACGCACACACCCGCACACACGCACACACACGCACACACGCGCACACACGCACACACGCACACACGCACACACGCAAACAAGCACATGCGCGCACACGCACGCGCACACGCACGCACGCACGCACGCACGTGCGCCCGCGCCCGCGCCCGCGCCCGCGCACACGCAAACGCACACCCAAACGCACGCGCACCCGCACACGCATTCCATTCCCACATGATCTGCGAACCAAAAGCATTGGCCCAAGATGCGCGACGGCGGCCGTCTTCATCTTGACAATGCCCGCGCCGCAGCCCAAGCCAGCCAAGCAAGCTCCGGATAAAGCAGCCAGAGAAGTCATGGCAGCGCACGGCCAGGCTACCCAACTTGATATGCTGTCCGGCTCACGCAGCGCAGGATGAGGTCATCATGATGACGTTTCTGCCATTTCCTTTGATTGACCTGGCTACAGGCAGGGTTAACTGCGCCATAAGACCTACATGTTCGAAGAACGTTTCTCTTAGCGGGACAAGCAAGTGGAGACACAAAATCCAAGTCAGATCCACTGCAATTTTAAAATGTTGAGCACATCTTTGTTGACTCACCCCGGACTAGCTCTATAAAAAATATGTCATCGTTAATTTTGGCCTGGGGTAAAAACCCCTAAGACTCATTCCTCTGTGCCAAGTCCAAGCCAAAAGTCGTCTGACTTTACAATAAATCCCGAATGTCTGGCAACCGCTTCAACGCTCAAAGCATTTCCGCTGAGGCAAACCTTCTCCTCCAGGCTGAGGCGAACCTGTCTTCATGCTAAAACCCATGACTTTAACTCCTTAACACCTACCCTCCCACCAACTAACATGGAAGTTCACAAAGCCCCTTTCCAAGAGGAAAGAGCTCTTTCTACAGAGGTCTGTGCACAAACCCATGTTCGGACGGAAGCCTTGACACCTGGCTGTGGGTCAAAACCAGTGGTACCATTGTAGGGTAGGTGCACCACCCATTCTATGGGATTTTGACCCACAGCCTGAAATCTTAAGACCGCCCTCACCTAAACCCTGAAGCCAAGAATCCCTTCAACCCCACCTGGGTTGTGACGGGCGGGGCAGCCAGCCGGAGTCCCGGCCCTGGATTCATGGGTGAGAAACCTGCGCGACCGACGAGCCAACCAACGAGCCAACTCCCGAACCAACCAACCGACCAATGAACCAACCAACGAACCATTGGATGTTTCTCAAAATGAGGATCTTTCAATTTTCTTCAGAAGTGGCCACGGAAGTCCTTCCAACACAAAAAAGGGGGCCGCCCGGGGAAAGAAAAAAAAACAAAACGGATCACCCAGGTTCCCGGCTTGGCCAGGCAGCTGCTGCGGAGAGGGGCCTTGGCTTGCGCATGGGATCAAAAGGGCGTACAAAAGGGTTCGACTTAGAGGATGCCAAACTTCAGCTTTCCAAAAATACTTTCTAAGTGAGCTGGCAGAGGTGACTTTTCTGCCAAACGATCCTCACCAGCTCAGCTGGAAAATTGGTGACTTTCCACCGGCCCGAATGTAGCCTTCAAGGGGCCCGGGTATGCATCACTGGGGGTTTGCTGCAAGCACCCCAAAGGGTGCCCTCAATAGAGACCGGCTTTCAACCTAACAAAATCACCCCGCCCGAACGGCCCAACAAATGATGCATGCAGGGTGGCTTAAAAGGGAGCCCTGCCCTTTACCTTGCCAATCACTCAGCGGGGGAGAACGGCTAAGGGGGAGAAGGGGGTGAACCAGGGTGACTCAAAGTCAGCTTGAGAAATGTGCACCATGTCTTGAGCCCTGAAAGCCCAGATTGGTCTAACTCCATCTTGTCTGATTCCCGGAGGGGGGGGGCGTTGTCTAGTGTGGGATCTGACAAAGGGTTGCCCCCCTTGGACTGGAATGTTGGCTGGTAAAATGAAACCAACCGAAACCAATCATCCTTGGGAGCGCACCTAAGGCTCACCAGCAAAAGGGCGTCCCGACCGGCGCAGGGCGGCAAACAAAGCGTGCCACGGGTTCAGCTGATGGCAATGAGCACCCAAAGTCAAGCCCGAACGCAGTAAACCAGCTTGCTAGATACACCTGTCGGGCTCATGGGAAAAATGCTTGCCGCATGCCAGTCCCCAGTGCACCAAGTAGAGCCAATGGTTCATAAAGGAAAGGAGGGGTTGGCACGTGCTGGACTGCTGGGTGTGGGCTGGAATTAATGGACAAATCAATGCATTCGAATGCCAGCTTAAACAGTGCTCTGAATCCGGACACTCTCTTCTCGAAATCATGGCACTACACAGAAGAAGGTGAAAGGACTTCTATCAAGTTGCATCTTGGAGAGGCATCAATGTGCCATTGGGTCGAGGGTGAATTCACCACCCCGGCCAGAAGTGAAGGATCAGTTTGCTTCCCGTCGCCAGGAATTGCAGGAAGCTTCCGGTCGCCAATCGGTTCCCTTCATCGCACTCGCTCCATTCCCCGCATCCCCTCCCATCTCTGGGGGTTTGTGCGTTAGCTCATGTGGTGTCCTGCGCTTAAAGGCAGGATGCTTACCCCCGCAGGGCCATCTTGCTCACAGCAAACATGAACAAACTTGCAGGTCTTGTTGCTGCGTCCTTGCCTAGGTCCTGCAGTAGAGAGGTTATAGTACGGGTAGCCTTTTTTTCTGTAGTCGATTTTAGTAGGGGAACCATCCCAAAAAAAAGGCCAAAACCCACTACTGGGGGACCTAGTTGCGGCTGTAGCGAACACAAAACTGGAGCTTACCCCTGCTTGGCCCCTCCGTTTCGACTTCGCTTTCTTTCCGCCGCGGGAAAGCCTTGGCTGAGGCAGGCGCAGAGGTCAGCCGGTTCTTGCTGAGCTCCAAAACCTCAGTGCCAGGGGCCTGAAGCCACCGAAATACTCGGTTGCTTTCTGCTCACCTGCTAAAAGTTTAACTTTTACTTTGAAAAACCCATTAGTTGGCCAAAAGTTAAAGTCCTAACATCCAAGCAAAATGCACCAAAGGAAAAGGAGGAACTTCTAGGGACCCCCGGCAGGTTGCACAGCTTTCCATGTCGGGGAGAAAAAAATGGACAGGCCCGAGTAAGATGAACATCTGCCAGGGAAAGAGGCTCCACCTAGCAACACTTCGCCCAGAGATTTCGGAGGTCTGGGCAGAGCCCAAATGAGCTTTCAGCCGTTGGGGTAAATGAAAAAAGAAGGTGGAACCATGAGTCGGAAGATGAAGCTGGGGGTGGTCTTACACATGTCACTCTTGCTCCCTTATGTGCCTAGTACAGGCAGTATACGGACTGCGCCCTTGCAGTTTTGCTTCATAACCAAAAAAAAACACCAAAGAGAGTACGCCGGGGTGAAAGATCTCGCACATTGTCTGTGGCGTGAATTTGCGCCACAAGCATCGCCCTTCCACTACCAAACTTCCCTGCCAGGAGCAACAGATTTCACCGCTGTGGGACCATTCACCCTCTATGCTTTTCTGGGTGAATTGCAATAGTTCCCCAATCAAACATATACCAACCGAAAGAGCAAAAAGCGCCAAACGGCCAGTTCCCTTATGAAAGGAACCTTCACGATTTCGGTCACAAACTTCTGGGTAGGTGAGGTCGCGCTTGGTCAAGTCCCAAGTGTCATTCAATGGGGGCCCAAGAAAAAAGTTGGTTCCCCCTCTTGGCCCCACTTTCGCACAAGCCCAAGGTCGCCATGAAAAAAACAAACATCTATTTGAGTCCCCCCTTAGTGAGACTGTGGATGGACAACATCCGCTTCGCACCAGTTGGTAGGTGAAATATCTCCCATGAATGGGGTTTCATCTATCCCAAGCGGTGCGACATGGACACCTCGTCCCGCAGCATTTACCAATATCTCAGGTGAGGAGTCACTTGCTCAAAACCCGGTAGTAGAATGGTCGTAATCCCAAAACCGTGGAGATCCGCAACTATTTCTGGCTGGGACTGGCCCTTACTAACACTGTGGGGCTACCCATTGGTTTAAACATGTTTAAACCATTGGTTATGATGATGATTTCTTGTGAAGGTGGTGGTTAAACCATATTTTGCCCCACCCTGCTTACTAAGCCTCATCAATGCCTGAATCGGTTTTGAGCACGTCAGGTGTCATTGCCCGAGGCCGGCGCACGAAGCCTGGGCAGCAGAGCCAAGTCCTGCTACAGCACTCGCTGAGAGGTGGCTGTGGGATGCCGCGTTGAGCCGAAAATACCGTGATCACAGGAGCAAACTGTGAAGAGTCACTTAGACCGACCCTCATATCTCCAACAAAAAAACAAAGAAGAACTCTTAGAGTAAGGTCGTCAACATTGACCACACATACCCTTCAAGCCTGGAAGTTGGGCGAAAAGACCTTGGAGGAACAATGCAATGGTCGAATGCCTTTCTCTCCCCGATAAAAGGTTCCACGTTGGTGGGACCCTACAATGGCCAGAACACGTGGACGTTGACCCCGGCTCAACAGAGAGATAGACCCAGTCCTCTTCGGTGATGCTTCAAAGTGTGTGCCAATATTGTTAGGAGTCCTCTCGACCTGGCCAGACATTGGCCTGCGCAAGGTACCATTTGCTCGAGGCAAGGGTTGAGGGGTAGCCCTTCCGTCCCCAAATGGGTATGGGTCAAAATCAACCACCAGAAAAACCGCAGGTTTTAGTCCTTGGTTCCGTTCACCAGGGCTCCGTTTTGGGGTTACCCGATTTTTGACCCACAGCCAAATGGAACCTGACTGGGGCTCGAATTCTTTGTTGGCTTCAACACCTTGGGGGACGAGTGCCGTCCTCAGCATCCGAGATCTCGTTCATGGTCGCCTTCAGAACCTCGCAGGGCACTTGGAAGCAGGGCGGTGGTTGAAATGGAATCCACGATTCTGCGATACAACAAGGGACTAACCCCAAAGACTAATCCCCCCCATAAGGGGGAAAAAAACCCGAAGATATCACAGAAGTGGGAGATAAACCCCGAGTGATCCCACAAGTCTGCTTGGAAACAATCTGTTCATGTCCTGGGGCGAAGTGACTTACAGTATCCAGACTGAGATGACTGACGCAGCACCATGCTTTTGGCCCCAACTTTTGTGGCAACTGCACTGACGAGCCGATAAACTTGCGCCAATGTCATTTTGAATGTGACCTTTTGGGGGTACCGAGAGGGACACCCCCCCCCCCCCTCTATTTTCAGTGGTCCCCTATGGCTAATTCTGATTTTTGATAAGAAACCCCTTGAAAGCGGGTGGCGGACACAAACCCTCAATGGAAAATGATGTCCACCAGAGGGTCCCCTACTGTGGATGGACAAAATCCTGCAACACAAACGAAATGGAAGCAAGCTTCCCAAACAAATACCAACAAACAATGGTTTCCCCTTTTGTCAAAGTGCTGGATTTTGTCCATCCA